GACAATGAATTCGATGCATGCAAACTTTGTGAACAATGAAAAAATGAGGATCAAGTTTAAGGCTAAAAATTAAAAACATCAGAAAAACCCTAAAAAAGAATCCTGTTTGGTAGATTGTGTTTGTCAGTGTACAAAGTAGTAATATCTAAAAAAAAGTCTGTCTTTACAAATGTTTTTGAAGAAGTGATTGTACTTAATGTCATTTATTTATTTGTAAATGTACTACAATATTTAACATACATTTTACCATTTGATGCATTGTTCCAGAGTTAGTTTAGAGTGAGTTTACATCTGCAGTCCCTCAGCAGGTCATGATGGTGTTGCTATAGCTGTGTAGTCTTTAAGGTGGATTTTGTGGTGTTTAAATGGACCGGCCAAGCCTTCAAAACTATCAGTAACAACAGTTGTAAAAGTCACTTCCTGCTGCACCCTGTGATGCCTGTGCAAACAGAGCGCCTCCAGGACAGACATGAAGGAAACCTGTACTAACACACGGTGTTAAACAATGGAAGCACACATGTTCTCATTGTAGCTAGTGTGGGAGGAAGCTAAAGTATATGCTGTTCTGAGGGTATTTCCATACTCGTCTCCCTGAATGTTTTTTTTTTTTTTTTTGCCATGAGTCTCATGCCACCTAGTGGCCAAAAGATGGAAGTGTATGCTTCACGTCAGCAAATCACATTAAAGGAGTGGCTTGATATTGTCACATGATCATTATCACAGTTTCCCACTGACTTAGATTTGATCTTTTCTTGAAACTTGATCCATTCTTGAGGGGGTTGCTGTTTTTCTCTAAGCACACTAGGAGCATGGCTCAGAAGTAAATATATCAGCAAGCATTGCATGGAAAATTTGTAACAGGCATTCAGTGTCACATGAGGATGGAATCCACCACACGACTGATTTGTGGTTCAGAGTGAAATATCTTTGACATAGAGTGATCTTGTATTTAAATTCAAGGTTTATTCATTATTTTTTTATTATTAAGGAAACTAAAAACACTAGTTGTATACAGCTTTACCCTGTACAACTTTAGTGCCTTTTTAACTTTTACTCCCATGACTCAACTCAAATTGAATTATAATAAAGCACCTTTCATACACAACGTGTGCAAACCAAAGTGTTTCACAGACGGACAGCAGATGGGAAAAGATATCAGAAATTGACACCAAACGGTAAAAGACAAACGATAAAATAAATTCAAGAGGAAGCTGGCTAATAACAATAATTAAAAAAGGCCAGAGATAACAATTGAAAAAAGAAAAAAACTATGAAAATGTTGACCAAGGGTAAGAACTTGTTTTAAAGTTAAAAGCCAGATTAAAAAAGCAGATTTTAAATGTACTCTCGAAACGCCCAGAGAGCTCGACATTTAAATATCAAGAGAGTTTAGAGGCATAAAAACAAAAAGCTCTTCTAGTTGTGTGGGACACATACAGTAAGTCCTGTTCAAAAATGAAGCATTCAGACCTAAATGATCTGAGGGAGATCAGTGATACACGTTGTAGCAAAGGCTTTTAAAACAAGTCAAAGAACTTTCAAATCAATTCTAAGAGAAAGAGAGAGAATGAGCAGTTTGTAGACATTTGGACATGAGGCAGACACTTTTGGATTTGATTGAAATAACTTAATTACTGGAATCTGATGTCTGAAGTTCCTTTAGAAAAATCTAATGAATGTCTTGGTCCTTCAGCTTTGTGTTTAAATGATAATCTTCATTCATATCTCAGTTTGTTTTTAATGCTTATAAGCAAATGTTAACAAACATACAGCTGATACTGTGGTGTTTAACATCAGTGTGTTAGCGTGTTAGCATGTTCAAATGTTGGTTGTCTCTATTGTCCTCTCATCTTATACCCTGCTGATGTGTTTAAGGTCAAAAAGGTGTCTGTTGCTGTGTGGCATCAGTTGTAGTGGTTTTCCCTCACAAATTGTACATATATTCTGTTATATTTAAGAATACATATTATTCTGTTTTTAGTAGAGTTAACCTGAAAGAGTTTCACTTCATGAACACTTGAACTCATCATTTGTGTCCACATGAGAAATGGGAGTATCGTTGATTCTGCGCTAACAGTTCTTACTCTCTGTTTCTTTTATGTCTGCCTGTGAAATGTCTTTGTGCTCGAAATGGACCTGACATCCCACAGAGAAAATGTCTCTCAGCCGACACATTTCACTAACCTCTGACATGTGCCTCTTACACTCAGATTCTGGATGTGACATTACATTACAAATGAACATTAAAACGCTTAAACAGCATTTTGGGTGAGTCAATAAGGGAGGGAGATCAAAACAGGAAGGTTGGATGTCAGAAAGTATCCGTGTTACTGTGTAACACTCACATGCATGCCTGCATTCCTTCTTGCATTAGTCAGTTTTCACACATTTGCGCAAATATGCAAATATGCAAATATGCAAATCCACACTGAAGACATTGTATAAAAGCAAGTGAGAGGGCTCATTCTCAGAGGAGCTGCTAGTCAACAGGCAAGGCAGGCAACTGCTTGGGGCCCTTGGCCAGTAGGGGGCCCAACTGAGGACTGACAAACTTTAAACCATTCGTAGCAGTGACTCAGAGTTTTACAATGACAGTAGAAAACCTCCCTAAGGGGGTCCCATCTGACAGTACTCACTAGTTGCGTTTTTTTTATTATTTTTTTGTAAATTTTATTACATGCAAACAAACAATAAAGTTAAGAAAAACGAACAAACATAAAATCTCAAATTGTGAATGAAAAGGAGCAGAAAGAAGACTAATCTTATAATATCTGCCCCTCTAAATGTGTGCACTTTAAATTGCCGTTGGCGTCAGATTATTTTTTAACATAAGGGCGATGGATGTTAGTTGTCGGGGCCCCCAATAAATTTTGCTGAGAGCCCCCAACAGAATCTAGAATCGCCCCTCCCTGAAACTGAAGAAAAAGGAGGAGGGAAGTGAAGTTCATTCAAGGCCACGCTTGGCTGCCAGCTGCGACTCTCAGACAGTTGTTCAAGATTTGTGAAGCACATAAACTCCTGTAGTTGTTCCCAGATTCCTGCTGTGTTACTATGACTCACAGAATCCAGCTTCCCCCTTCTTTCCTTTTCTCTTTTTACAGATTCATCTTGGGGAAGAGGAGTGGGCCTCTGGTTCAGAGAATAGCAAGAAGAAAAGCAGAAACAGTAGAGTTATCCTTCACGTCTTTTCATGTCTAACTTAAATGTCTTCATTTTGAAGTGTGGATATGTGCCGTACATAATGTCATTTACTTGGCATTTAAGTTAAAGTGTTGGTCAAAGAACTTCCCTATTTGTATTTTTCAGTTTCTTGTTAGGATTTTTAGGTCTAGGCAAAAGAGGCAACCCGTTGCCAACACAAGTTGAGACAAACAAGAAAGTGAAGTCGCTGTCATGGGGTACAAGTCATGCTGATTTAATTCATCCTTCCTCTTTATGTGTGACTCACTGTCCTTATCCCAGACCAATCAGTGTTTCCCTAGCTTCTTTCTTTGCTTTTTTGTTACTCTTGGTGCTTTCTTTTCTTTATATTGTGTACTTTCAAAGAGATGAGTGAATAAACAAACGACAAGGTGTTTCTGTGTAGTGTGAGAATAAGTGTAACTCGATCACCCATAATGGTGAGGTAAGAGCAGGAAGGGTGTTTGAGCCTTTGCCAGGGCTCCCCCGGGCGGGGGGGGGTTCATGTGTTTTGTTTTCTGCTTCTCCTGGGTCCAGAGAGAAAATCCTCTTTGATTACAACCTCAGCCTCGGTTAAGCCTACTGTACATAAACCTGCCCGAGGTCATGCCAGATCAGGATGTGCTGCCGCTAGTTTTGGGGGAAAAAGAGAAAGTTCTTTGTATTTTATTGAGTATTGTCGTTTCCTTAGTGTTCGGCTCTGTGCTGTTAAGACACTTTGATTCAGAAGAAAACACATGACTGTGAGGTGAGTAATGTTATTCCTGAAATGAATGAAAAAAAAGAGCAATCACAGGACCCTTACCACACCTGATCAGGCTTCAAAGATGATTGTTTAAATGATCTGCAAGACTGCTAAAAGAGGGCAGCTCTTCTTTTCTTTTCTTTTGGTTATTTTTTGAACAAAGTGCTATTGGCTTACTTTGGTTCTTTATTCTTCCTAATCTCTCGACGGTCTTGTGGGTAGATTTGAAGCTTGGGTGTTCTTAGGTTTCTTTTTACAATACGGCAGGCGTCATTGTTAAAACTGTTCTCCCTTTTGTGTTGCCCTTGAATTCACTTTGTGGTTGCAGAAGATCTGTTCTATTTTAACTAAGTTTTTAGTTTCTCTGTCTGATCGGAGTGACTCTGGAAAACAGTTCAATGTCATTTATCATTATTGTTTTCCTTGCGACTTTAAGAGTATAATACAGTAAACCAGTGTTTTTGTATTTGAGCTTTAACTCAAAGACTAAGAATATAAGTTTCAGGAACTAAGAATCACTGCTCACTTCCTGGTTAGTCCAGATGGAAAAAAAGTCAAATTCTGTTTATTTTGGGGCCTAGCTGACCACAAACTCAGAAACTATGTGGCAAATGACGGACATTAAACCTTTTATGGGCAAACCAAAGGAATTTAGTTGCCTGTTTACAAAATCGAGCTCATTTTTACAACAATATTCAACTGTTGAAGTTTTAACTCTATCCCCAGCTTTCTTTGTTGAAGCATCAATTCACCTTTGACACAGATCTACACTCATCTTGCTCTTTCTTTGTTGTGAACTGTGGTTTTTATTTTCTCCATGTTTCAGCCAGAAAATCTTGTGTTAATGTCAATTAAATGTGAATGTTTTTAGGAGTTTATAAACAGAAAAATGCCTACTGGTTTCCCTGGAAACAGAAAACACCCTGTGGGTTAAAAAAAAAAAAGGGAACATGTGGGTGAATACGAGCACAAGAGAGCAGGGAGGGGGGAGACTGGAGCGATGTTAAAGTGGGCAGGGTCTGAGAGAGCAGCTGTGATTGAGGGAGAGAAGCAGGAGTATAAGTTCCCCAACTTCCCACTGCCAGCGTCACTTTCTCAGCCGGCCTCCTGTGAGTCTCCACATCTCATTTTTTAACCTCTGCTGTGCCTGAACTTCTCCAACATGAGTATCAGAAGAACCAACCTTCCCTTCACCCGCTCCACCCCACAGTACAGTTCTGCAAGTGTCTCCGGTTATAGTGGACATGGAACCCGCATTTCCTCTACTTCCACATCTTCCCTGCGCTCTGGTGCCCCCTTCGCCTCTTCTTCCTCTGCTTTCAAGGTGAGCAGTGGGATGGGTGGAGGCATGGGTGGAGGTTTTGGTTTTGGTGGTGCCGGTGCCGGTGCATCCTTGGCAGCAGGCGGCAGCGGTTCCAGTGGTGCTGGGATCCTGGGCAATGAGAAGGGAGCCATGCAGAACCTGAACGACCGCCTTGCCAACTACCTGGAGACGGTGAGGAGCCTGGAGAAGGCCAACAAGGAGCTGGAGATGAATATCATGCAGGCTCTGGAGAAGGGAGGGCCAGACATGAGGGACTACAGCAAGTATGAGCCCATCATTGAAGACCTGCGCAGACAGGTAAGCATGATAATATCATGATGATTGTAAATAAGATGCAAATTTAAATGGTCAAATGGTTGAAAAATGGTTTCAGGGGCCTCTCATATAAGAATCAATGAATGCCATTACATGCAATCATTCTGTTTTAAATGTAGACATATTTGTGGAGGCATGTTTTATTAAGTTTTTCACTCATGTTGAAATTAATATTAGGATAGAGACAGTCAGCATTTCCTTGGTTATCACATTTCCTGGAAGAGAATGAAGGGTGTGGTTGCAAAGCTCCAACCCTCCCCCCCCAAAAAACGTTGTTGGCACCACAAACAGGCCAGAACTTCCTGTGATGAATCACCAGCATGCGGGCGGCATCACGGGAGACAGACTGAAAAAAAAAAAAATTTGAAACAGACAAAGACATTCCCAAATGGTCCTGCTTGAAAACGCTGGTTCTACAGGCATTCTTTGGTGTAGGCGACCGCAATGTGAAACAGATGTGTGTTAATGACACACACACACACACACACACACACACACACACACACACACACACACACACACACACTCACACACACATAAAGGATCGTGGACAACCAGTGTGTGTGTGTGTGTGTGCACATACAGTAGTTGTGTGCGAGTGAATGGGTTGTATAACAATCAGCTCCATGTCTGCAGAGTCAAATGTCACATTCCTGTGCAGACCCCAGATCTTCTATGTCACATAATGACACATTGATGGTTGGCACTTTGTTTTCCTCAACACATAAAGGGATGAGTATTTTCCCTTTTCCTCTAAGGCAGGATATACATGTCAAGAGCGGATAAAAATCCCAAGCACACTCATGCACAAAGAAGTTTGCACATCATTGCACACATAAACAGATCCATTGATGTATACAAATCAAATAAGAGCTGGGTGTAACCATGGAGAAGTAACACTTGTCTGTATGATTGATTCAGACAGGAAACACATCTTTCCAACAAAGCTAAAACAAAACCAGATTCTGTTTTGGCAAAGGAACATCCTCTCTTCCTGTTCTTCTCTTTGTGGTTCCTCTTTTCTCTGAATTTAACAGTGAATTCAAATAGGTTTCTGCTCTGGAGTGTAATCTGACTCCGGAGGTCCAAGTGTTACATAAGGAGAAACAGTGATTTAAATCAGATGTTGGATTCTGTAGTTGATCTCTTTAAAGAAGAACTCTTAAGTCTTAAAGAAGAACATTTCTGGAGATGACAACTTAGATATGTATTGAATGGAAATGCCTCTGTTTAAATGATCTTGTAGTTTGAATGAGAAAAAAAAAGTGGTATTGATCCAAAATATCAATTAATAAAGTCAATATGTCCTTACTTCTTTTTTCTTCCCAGATCTTTGATAAGATCTCAGAGAATGCTCGTTTCGTGCTCCAGATTGACAACGCCCAACTAGCCGCAGACGACTTTAAAGTAAAGTATGTTGATTTTACATTTGATGTCAGAGTTATTTCTGTTTGTTTTATACTGAAAGCTTCACATGCTGTACAGAAGTAGAAGGTCAGTGTCATACACTCTTCAACTTAAAGCTTTTTGCAGAGTTTGTACGTCAATGTGCTTTAAACAAAATTCATCATATCTACATAACACATAAGACAGACTGGCTGGTTTTGGTTCAGAAACACAGTCGTAAAATTAAGTCATGCCATTTAAGAGTGTGGTTTAAACTTCTGAAAACAAGAGAATGTCTTATTTGTGTTATGACGTGACTGTCCTTCACACTTGGCATACTCGTGCTCACAAGATAACATGGACCTTGTTAGTATTACTGACTTCACTGATAGTGGAGGGAACAAGAATAACACACATAGTCTGCTTATGAAACTCCACATTACATCGTGTATAGTGTAATAAAATCTAAAACAAATATCGTGTCCATTTATACATAGTGTAGAAAAAAAGCTGGTATCATATTTGTGTTGTATAAAAATTAAATAAAGTTCACTGCAGCTCCTTTGTTGTGTTTTCCTTTATGTAGAAATGTCCAGGTTTTAGAGTGTAAGTAAGTAAGCAGAGTGTAAATAACAGTGTTTGTGTCTGCACACGTCTACAGGTACGACAATGAGATGGCAATCCGCCAGTCTGTGGAGGCTGACATCGCCGGTCTGAAGAGAGTCATCGATGACACCAACATGACCAGGATGAATATCGAGAGTGAGATCGAGTCCGTGAAGGAGGAGCTCGCCTTCCTCAAGAAGAACCATGAGAATGTGAGTTTACGATACATCATATTAACATGAAGTATCTCAGCAGCTCCCAGGAGGAAATCTTTTCAATGTTTGTTGTCTTTGTCTGTTTCTGTCCACCAGGAGGTGATGGAGCTGAGGAATCAGATCTCTCATTCAGGCGTGCAGGTGGATGTGGACGCTCCTAAAGGTCAGGACCTGGCTCAGATCATGGAGGACGTGAGGGGTAACTATGAGAGGATGGCCGTGAAGAATGCAGAGGACCTCAAACAGTGGCATGAAAATCAGGTAATGTAACATTAAACGGGTAACTTCCTTTTTTTTAAACAACCTTGTTTGTAGGCTAACACCCTCCTTCCTCTTCATGTCTACTTTTCAGATTGCAGATGTGCAGGTGCAGGTATCACAGAACACAGAAGCTCTCCAGGGAGCCCAGATGGAGAAGAGTGACCTAGCAAGACAAATACAGACCCTGGAAATTGAACTTTCATCTCAACAGAGCTTAGTAAACATACATTTTATTCATTTTGTTTTATCTTCTGTTTCAGTAAAAAAAAAATCCAAACTTTATCTAATAAAATCATCACAGTTTTAAGTCATTTTTTACAATATTTGTAAAAGGTCATTTAAAATACCTTGAGATAGCCTATAAATAAAACCCACTTGTTCTATTTGTTATGCCTTCATATAAACCAGCAAATATTATCAAATACCATTTTTGGCAAAGGTTGGAACTTTCCCATGTTCTCCAAATTTAGACTTGCTTCACATAAAAAAAACATTGTTGGCATGCTTTTAACTTGTCCTTTCTGATCCTTTATCAGAAATCCTCCTTAGAAGAAACATTACGCAACACAGAGAACAGGAACAACATGGAAACGGAAAAGTACAACGACATCATAATGCGTCTTGAGGAAGAGCTGACCGGCTTGCGGGCGAACATTCAGAAACAGACGCAGGATTACGAGGCGCTGCTCAACATGAAGTTAAGGCTGGAGGCTGAGATTTCAACTTACAAGACTCTGCTGGATGGCGGTGACTTCAAGTAAGAGTTATAAAGAGGTGGAAGACATGAAACGAGGCAGATGATAGTAGAGGTGAATACTAAAGTTACTTGTTGGCATGTTTTGCATGGTCAAGTATGACTAAAATCATTAAGTGAGGCAGTATTTCCACTTACTTTAACATGAATATTTTAAAAGTCACCCTGTTTATTTGTGCTTTGTACAGGCTTCAGGATGCACTGGATGAGCTGGCCTGAGCGAGCTAATTTGGAACTCGTGCCATCCCAACAATAAAAGAAGAACAAACCACAACATGTAATATCCATGCTGGTCCATTCAGTAAAAAAAAAAAAAAAAACACCGCTGACCTAACGGCCAAGTGAAATTGAATAAAACCACTATTTGTTCCACGATCATGTTTCATGTGTATTTGTTGTTGTAATTTAAGTGTTGTTGTTGTTTGTATTATAAGTTACTCACTTATCTAAAAAAAATCAAAGTTGAAATGAATTGCATGCATCATTTTTAAAGACTTGCCTACAAAGAACCACATCCCCAAAAAACAATTTCAAGAAATAACCAAGCAGCAACCTCTGGTGTTGAAAAATGAAGTCAATGCAGAAGTGGAAAATCCTGCAGTTCATGATTTTTTTTTATAATGCATTCCAGATTTTATAAATGATACGAGTACAGACAGACGGGCGCAATGAAACAGTTTGCCAAGAGGCTTAAACCCACCTCAGCTCCAGCTCTTAGCCTGTGTTTAGGTTGAATAAAAGTTAGAATGAGACAGGTTTTACAACATGGCGGCTCCCGCTGATGAGCTTCCAGAGCCCCCCAGCAGTTACAGATAGGTGACGTCACTCAGGCTTCATCCATTAACATTTACAGTCTATGGAAATAAAACCATTTTGTTAATGGCTTACAGAAAAAGAAAAAAATATCACTATTGTTGCAGTGATCCACTCTTAATCAAAGCAGTTGAAACATTTTGCAAAAAGCGTGTCAGATTTATTCTAGCACAATAAAAGATACATAGTTCAGTTAAGCATCTCCACTACTTTGTTTTCTATTTTTTATAATAAAATTGGTTTCATTAACTCTACTACATTAATTTGACTGCTCAAGTTTCAAGATACAATTTGTACATTTAAAAAAACGTGTTAACTTTAGAAATAGCATGCATTATATTAACTATACAGCAGTATATTCACTTGCCGAATTAGAATCACCTTTACCAGCTACAAAACTAAACAATGTAGATTCACTATAGCAGACATAAATGCACTAGTAACATACTATTCATAATAATAATAATAATACTAAATCATCATCAGAATGGTTGAACATTAAAATAATGAATGTACAAATGTCTCCCAATAAGCACAAACCATGGCCTGGGATAAGCCTCAGAGGCATTTTAATCCCCTCTTGTTCAAGCAGTTCAGGCTTCTCTTAAATTAGAGCTAAAAGAAAACAAAAAACAGGACAGGTTTCAGTTAAAGCTGTTTTTATATCATTAAAGTTTATCAATCATGCACCGAACTGTAAAACATTGGGGATTTGAACTCACAACCTAACAAAGCATTCTAAGCTAATAAATAGTCCTACTAACATTTAAAGCTAGGCTATATGTTTCGTATGTGTGTTATGTAGGCTATGTATTATTTAAAAGACATAATGTGAAAAATAAAACTTAGTTTAGGGAGATGTCAGTCAGTCAAGCAGATGCGGGTGAGAAAACAAGGGAGGGGACAGGCCCGTGAACGACGATGCGCGCTCCCGATAGTAAACCTCTGACGCTTACATCCGGGAACTACGACGAACTCGCTCTCCAACATGGCGGCGTCAGGTGAGGTTTATGAGGGTGAACGATCTTGGTCGATTGGGGGGAATTTAACCGGGTTATGACTAGATATAATTAAAAACATCATGTTTGAGAATCGTTAATAACCCGCGCTTATTGTTCGCGTCGTTGTTCCGGTTGTATGAGCTGGTCTGTCGGTTGTTTTGGCCCGGTAAAGACGTAGCTGCTAAGAGGAACGCATATGAACGGAGCTAGACTTGCTCAATCTGAAAAAAAATGTAGTAAAAATGCCTCTGGAGCACGCTAATGTGGTGATTAAGTTTTCAGCCCATGAGTTCACACGGTATGGTATGAATCGGTAGGTCTGTGACGCGGTGTGAGATGTTTGTAACTGCGTGCTAAGCTGGCACATTGTATGCCCGTAGCGGAGCTCGCCGTGGCGCTCAGAGCAGATAAGCATCGAGGCGCAAGCGCGTTTCGTGGAGGAGGGGTTGGGCCGAGAAGTCCGGGGCAGCCCGAGGAGGCGCCCCCACGTGTGTAGCCTTGTTCCCCTGGTATCTGCGTTTGATGAAACGGGGCAGCTGGGCCTCTTGGGTTGCATCCTTAAACACTTCCCTGGCGTCTTCACAACTTTGAACCGTCCTATCCGCCCGGCCAGGTCTGGCTCCGATGATGGCGCACTTGGATCCTGGCACTGCGTCGTGCACTAGGCCCTAAAACCTTAGCCAGCTAAGCAGGGAGACTTTCTCCCCGTCAGCAGTCTTTCGCTGAACCCACAAAGGCATAAAAACAAAAGCGACATAATTAAATAGAAAAGAAACAACCTGCGTGTGAAGCGTAACAGTGAGCTGTTCGTCTTTGCAGCTGTTATGCTATGGTAGCTCCAAAAAGTTACCACGCAGCTACTTAGCATCGGCGTGAAACACATTAAACAGTCAGTAGACGTGTTATTGCTTTTAGTGGCTCAGCATGTAAACAATGACTTAGCATTATGCGCTGGGGGAATCAGTGCAGACCGTCTGTGTTACTCTCAGTGTGTGCAGGTTTTTTTTTTTTTTTTTTGTACCGTCACGATGTGTGTATGAAGAATGTCCTGACAGTTGTGTTTCTCACAATGAAGCTCCCATCCAGCTTTGTTGCTCCCCCCTTTACTGTGTCAGACCAAAACAAACCAGACCTGCTCTATGGAGTGAGCTGTGTGAACTACCTGGCAACAGATAATATGACGACCGGTCTGCTATGTTTGCATGACCCATTAATTTAACCTATGAAGGTGCGTTCCTCAAAAAATGCAGCAAACATGCAGGTTTGAACATGCGTCAAAGTCTGTTTGACCTGCTGCACAGTGATAGTCGGACTGAACAATGACTCCCTTTTGTTTACTTTCCTATAGGAAAATAAGTCAATGTTTTTCTATCACTCACTCAGTGCTGTCTCCTTATCTGACTGCCTGACGATACCTACAGTCCAAAATACTGTAGTAGTATTATTGTTTGTTCTGAGAGGCAGCCATCACATGAGCAGAGACACACAGATCTATTGAAAACTCTGACTGTTGTTGATATGTAGCTTTATGACAATACATATATATTGGACATTTTCTATATCACTGAATCCAAATAATTGTTGCCAGTACCACGTTTTTGCACACCAACCTATGTTTTTCCTGAGCCCAAAGCTGCCTTTTTGTCAATCCATCTCCAGTTTTCCAAAGAATGGTTTAAATGTATCAATTGATGGCACATTTTGTACAACTATTAAATTTATATAATCCCATTTAGTGTAGAGAAAAAAAAAAATCCAAGAGAGGACGGTCTTGAATCAAATGATCCAGCATATTTCCTCTTTGGCTGACTTTCTACGCTTTGTGTTCACCTCCCGTCCAGCGGCTAAGAAGAAGAATAAGAAGGGGAAGACCCTCACTCTGACTGACTTCTTGGCAGAAGACAGCGGAGGCAGCGGAGGTGGCAATGCCCCCCCAAGCTACCCGGCTAAGTCCACTAGTTGGGCCGATGAGACCGATGACCTTGATGGTGATGGTGAGCTCACACTAAGATACCTACATAAACTGAGCTATCATCACATTAATCGGAGCCAATTCAGATGTTTGAAATAACTTTTAGGATTAAGTAGGGACATGTTGCAAAAACAGGTAGTGTCAAGCATAGAAACAACAGACGAAGACAATGACTTATGGCTAACATGCTCTGTTTAAAATGTATTTATTCATCCAGCTTCATATCATTTTCTTGATATTGTACACTGTTATTATCACACATCCCATATATTTATCATATTGTGCTTGCTGATTTGTCGTATTTCTTGGTATCATGCATCTACACATAGTTTTTGTCAGGTTTTCCGGTGCTGAACTTTAATCCACCAACACCATTTGCATTCTGCTGTGAGCAACACATCAAGCAGAGGACATGATCACATGTTGTCATGGGATGTTTTGTTAGTTCTCTTTTCAGAAAATCACATCAAAATGGTTTAAAATAAATCCAACATCTTATTTATGTGTAGTTTTACTTACCATCTCTTAGACTAATGGTCTATGTAGGTTTCTTGGCTAGTATCATAAAATACAACTATTATTTGCCCCATAGATATATTCCTCATAGAACAGTTACACTTTACACACTGCTATAAGTAGACCAGCGTCAGAACACTTGAACGTTGCTAACTAAAGGGGCATGTTGCATATGAAGTAACTGTTGATCTCACAGAGGTATTTTTTAGTGGCAGTTTACGTGATGTAATATTTTCTTGTATATGTAAACATGTCATGTGTATTAAGGCCAATGTAGTTTAAATTAATGGTTGTGATTGTGAAGCATTTGCTGCTTTTAGTTTTGTCCATATAGAAGAACTCTAGGAGTTGAAAAACACATTTTTCAGGATGTGATAATCTGTTTTATTTAGTATTCAAAAGTATATTTTAGGTTTGCATTTGTTATTTATTTGTCTTAATTTTTCATCCCTTCAGTCTCTACTTCCTGGCACACAGAGGAGGACAGCTACCGGGCGCCACCCATCGACCGGTCTATCCTTCCCACAGCGCCTCGTTCAGCTCGTGAACCCAATGTCGACCGGTCCCGACTGCCCCGTAGCCCGCCTTACACGGCCTTCCTGGGAAACCTTCCCTACGACGTCTCTGAGGAATCGATCAAAGACTTCTTCCGCGGCTTGGCAGTAGGTGTAGCAATGAGCATCTATGCAGCGTGGGGTTTAAATCACATAGCATTGCTCTTTACAGGGACCATCAACACCTATCGGAACATCTTGTCAAGCTTGTCTCTTCCATAAATATAAGGGCCTGTATGTGTGTTAGATCTTTATTTGTTTAAAGGTTTAGTCCACAGTGAAAATCTGTCTTCAGGACTGCAGCAGTTAACACCACTGAGGTTGTGTAGTTCTAAGAAACAGGACATACAGGTCTGCCAACTTTTGCTACTCATTATGTATGACAGTTTCTTCAAGTAGCTAAATATTGGAGAAGAAAACAATAGTTACAGATAACCTGAATTTAAAAAGCATAGCTGGTCAAATTTCTGTTTAAGAAACCTAATCAGTTTGAGCAATTAAAATGCAGTAAAGTTTTACTCTTCTGAAGTGGTGCTTTTTTTGAGCCAGGGTGGCTTTATTTTCACATTTTATTATATTTTCCTGTTCCTTGTTAAGTGAACCGTACAGCATTCTCTGTTTTTATGTTTTTCTTTCCTCATCTCCAGATCAGTGCTGTGCGTTTGCCCAGAGAGCCCAATAACCCTGAGAGACTGAAGGGCTTTGGTTATGCTGAATTTGATGATGTGGATTCCCTCATGAGGGCCCTCACTCTTAGTGAGGAGGTGAGTCTTCTACAAGAAGTTGGTTTAATAGTTTGAATTTATTTTGATGTCTCAACCTTTAATAGTACTTTTTCCTGTAAGTTTTTGCAAAACTAAGGGTTATTGCCCCGACTTCATAAAATAACAAAGCGTTTTAAAAACATATACAGGAGAATCACTAACTTGTGCCCTCTATCTGTCCATACAAACAGAACCTTGGAAACCGAAGGATCCGTGTGGATATCGCGGACCAGTCTAATGATAAAGGTACATTGCTGACAGCTAGACTGCATTACAGAGGTCCTCACTACTATAGAACCATAGCACAACATCTCTTCATTTTTGTTAATCTACAGAGAGGGACGGTGGGTCTATGGGAGGCAGAGATCGAGGTGGACGTATGGGGGACATGGGTCCTGACAAAACAGACACTGACTGGAGGGCTCGGCCCAGTGGGGATACGGAGGATGCACCTCCCAGGAGAGATGATGCCTTTGGAGAGAGTGAGTACTATATTTCTGCGTATTTACTAGGATGATTCTTTTAGTTGTTTTTGACATTATGAACTCTTTTATCAGTATCAATGGTGTGGGTACCAATTACATTTCTACTTGGCATCAACTCTGCTTGAAATGTCCTAAAAAAGTATCGACGGTAAGATTCTCCGAGCACTTAAAATGCAGCAGAAATGAAAAGGTTGTTTTCTTGATGATGTGGACCAATAAATGCAGAGAAAACGAAGTCTTTGCTGGAAGTGGTTTAATGCTTACCACTGGCTCCACTAGAATTTCAGAGGAATTGGCATCCATTCCAGGAGGCTTTATACTTTATTGTCTATAGGACAATGATTGTCAATAAGTTCAGAGACTGAGACTTATTTTATTCACACTAGGAACTCAGTCCAGCCAAAAGTTTGTGAGCAGAAATTGCATTTTTTATTTTTTTTTATCACAACTTCTGCAGGATCAAGGGACCGTTATGAGTCGGATCGCTTCAGAGATGGGCCAAGACGGGACAATGATCGCTATGACGGAGGAAGAGACCGCTACCGTGATCGTTATGATGACAGGGACCGCAGAGATTACGATAGAGGAGGTGTGCCTTTCTGTTTGTTTGGACCCTGTTGTGATTCAGATGTACCTCCAAGTAGTTTCTTAACTTCTTTCAAAATCAGTCCCACCATCAGTTTTCCATTATAATAATAAAATATGATAAAATTTGTTTATAAAGCACTTATCAAAGCAAAAGTCACAAAGTGCTTTACAGAATAAAATCCCAACAATAAAATACATGACAACAAAATTCTATTAAAAGCATGAAAATAAAACCACAACGCAGCAATCACCCATTCAACAGAGAAAATAGAAACAACTTGGCTAAAGTTAACATTAAAACAAATAAAACATCATGGATGAAATAAGGATTATAAGAAGGCCTTTCTATTAAAAAAAATGAATGCACAGTTTCCTGCTGCTGGACTTGTATTGCCTCCTACATCTCTTACAGTCTTCTGTTCTTTACTCCCCTTCTGCTGCCTCTTCAGGTTTCGACTCTCGTGGCGGTAGTGGAGGAGGTCGCCGTGCCTTTGGCAGTGGCTTCCGTCGCGATAATGACGACATTAGGGGAAGCAACGATCGTTATGGCGAACGCGAAGAGCGATTCGAGAGAAGGGATGACCGGCGCGAGGAGAGAGGTGAGAGTATGTATTGAACCTCTGTTATCTCCTCTATAATTTCTAGATTGATCTGTCTGATAATTGATTTTCATACATAGTGTAAATGAATGATATTGTAGTTACCAATGTTGATATATTCTCAAACTCTTTAAATCTAAAATTAAGCTTTATCATGATCATATAATCACAACATTTATTAATAATATCCTTTCCTGAACTCCTGTCAGCTCCCCTGCAGAGACCCAAGTTAAACCTCAAGCCCCGTAGCGTTCCCAAGGAGGAAGAAGGTAGCGGTGGTGGTGGCGGCAGCGGTGGAACGCCCCCTGCTCCCCTACCAAGCTCCGGCAGCAGGGCCTCATCCATCTTTGGTGCGGCCAAGCCAGTTGACACAGCAGCCAAGGAGAGGGAGGTGGAGGAGAGGCTGAAGAAAGAAGAAGAGAGGCTGCAGAGGCAGCTGGAGGAGGACAAAGGCAGAGGACCCGACAGAAAGATGAGAGACAGGTCAGGGTTCGACAAAAATGGTCATTACGTAATATATGATGAGGTGGTGGAAACCAAACAAAAATAAAGTTTTGTTATGCAGCTGCACACTACTTGTCGACTGTAAAATTCCATTTAACTTCATTCGGTTTTTGGGCAGCACTGACATTGCAGCATGGTTTGCAAAGAAAAGTTTGGCCAAATTCTCAGAACCTTTACCTCTTTAAGGTCAGGCATACAGTACAATTGTTTAAATGTTGTAGTCACACTGTCCGAGTGAATCTCTTAGGACGCATACTCACATTGTACGTGTTAAATCAAGGCATAGCATTGACAAAAGTCACTTCATTTAAAACTCACATACACAAGAGTTGAAGTCGGATCATGTGTATTTCAATTGTCTTATATGCACAGCTAAACTACAAACACTATCAGAGACACCCTTGCTCTCTTACATGCACATACACTCGGCATTACAAAAAAAAAACAAGCTAACTAGAAAGCTAAATACTGACACATATTCCCTGGCAGTTGGATGTCCACAACTATTTTCTACAAACGTTTTTCTCCCTTATATCTTTCATGATAGGGGGGGACACACATCACAGGTGTGCCTGCAGTCACTATTGTGCTTTCAAGGCCCTTTCTTCCAGATTGCGCTGCCGCTATCGGGATTTAAAAAAAGCTTACATTTTATGAATTCATTCAATGTTATGTTAAGAACTTACAGAATTTATCTCACTTGTGGTCGCAGCTGATTTGGCCATGAGCAACTCTAGTGCCCCATTGTGCACAGTTGATAAGTGACGCGCAACTGTGCTGAATTCGTCCTGAGTTCAATATCAAGTGTATGACCCAAAAAATCTGGTGAAAGTCGCACAGTGTGTATGCCCACCCTTAGTCCCACTTTTTTATGTATATATTTTTTTATCCTCATCATTCCTTATATTTTATCTATAGAGTATTTATTACAGTCTTCTACAATTTTTTTACGGTTATGTATGTGGATATGGGTGAGATGTGCTTGGATTGTGTTTGAGGGTGTGTGCTGGTGTATGTGAACATATTTTATATTTTTATATGCTGCAGCTGGATTGCTTCTGCAGAGTTCCGTTGTGTTAATTTGCAATGACAATAAAGATCTATCGATGTGGGCTACATAACCCTTTTTTTTGTTGTTTTCAGGGATCCAAGCTGGCGCAACGATGAAACTCCTACCGAGCGATCTCGCACAGGAAGTGAGTCTTCACAGCCTGGAAGCACTTCTGGAAGAGGTGAGATACATATATATTTTTTTAATCTATCCTCTTCAGTCTGGTTCTTCTTTTGAACATTAAAGAGACATGGGAAGGGTGTGCATGCATTATTATTTTATTTTTTTAAACTAAAAACAGTGTCATAAGACTTTTGTTTTATAATTTATATGACAGCTCTACAACCTCTTTAAATGGGATCAAAGCTTCCATTTAGCCATACTGTTTAGAGATATATTCCTGTAACTCCCAGTCCAAAAAGCAGCATTTGCTTTTACCATACTGGAAATACATTGAGTATTTTGCGTTTGTCTTTGGAGGAAAATATTCAAAGTATATTTTTGCTTTTCACCCGCCAGCTTCCAGGTGTCGAGACAGTGAGCGCTCTGGGGACAACGAGGTTTTCAGTGGGAGAGAAGGTGAACCTTCTTCCCCTGGGACCTCCCCACATCCTCCCTCTACCAATTCAGCCAAGGAGCCACCAAAAGTGATGCCTGCACCTCCTCCCAAGGAAAATGTCTGGGCCAAGAGAAGTGCAGCCAGCACAGGCTCTAGTGAAGGCGATGGACGACCTCCAGTCTCTCCGGTTTCTCCGAGTGGTTCAGCTCCTCCCAAACTCAGGTGAGACGATAATGTACTTCAGTCTACGTTCAGGAACAGACACTTCAAGGTTTCTAAAATCAGATTACTGAGTAAAGCCTTCGTATCTAGATTTTAGGGCTTAAGAAAAGTCAGAACATTTTTAAAAACAATCATGAAATCCTTTTGTATACGTTACTTTGACTGTTCTTACTTTCTCCTCAGCTCCCCAAGTTCTGCAGACGAAAGAGACTCTGAGAAAGGTAAGTCCTAAACAGAAATACTGGGCACAATAAGAATTTAACTTGAAGCAAACCCTAAGTTTTTAACTGAGTGAACTCAAACCAGACCAGGTTGTCTTTAAGCACAAGCAGAAAGGGCTCAACAAAAACAAAGCAAAAGAAGACAAGTTTACAAAAAGCATCGGGGCGATAGAATTTAGACAACCGTCAAAATGTTGATACTCTATAGGTGCCCATTCTTCAGCTCTTCTTCCAGTCTCGGCTCTTTACGCAAACTAGGCTCAGCTTTCATCTGCTTCAGCTTCTCAAACTCATCTGTGCCTTCAGCTACAAGCTAATTTTAGCATGTTAGCATGTTATTGTTCGTATCCAAAACTATTGAATGTTTACATTCCAACAGCATGCAGTGAGAATGGCTGATGGTTACTCAGGCCACGTTTACATGAGGACAATACTCTAGAAACTGAGTCTGTTTTCCAAAATGTTCCAGTTTCAGACGACAACATTTTGAAAACAACTGCCGTGCACAGGGATTCGCAAAAACGGCTCGAAACATTGTTATATACGTGGCAGACAGGGAGTTGGCGGTGTGACTTTCTAATTCAACAACACATGTCTTGCATCTCAGTTCTGTTAAATGCTGGCTCCTCAGTCAAACCAGGAGTAGATCCAGAGTCCAGACATAACATGTTAAGGAGCGTCCCAAAGCACTATAACTGAAAGACACGAGAGCAGACAGACACGTCCCCTCACCAGATATCACTCATTGATTTAAACGCTGCAGTGAAACACAACAGTCATTTAAACAGATTGTGAACATGTCCTTTTCTAAAGAGTCAGTATGTCAAATGCAAAAATGTTAGCCGTTAAAATCAAAAGATCACAAATAACTCAATTTGATCATGATGCAAATGCCTGACAGTCTGATAAAGAGTCTGCCAGTAAAGACCTTTTTATCATCATTCTGTTAATGTTGGAACCTTAACAATAATTTTCAGTATTCCTCAGACATAAAGTATCTGTGTTTATAAAATACAGAGTTCACTATCAGATTATCAGGAAAAAAAACAATTAACAATTCAAAAACTTTGTCAGCAGAAATAATCCATATGGTTTTGAGCAGACTTCTTCCTCGTGCAGTTGTTTATCAGGTAACATACAGAGACAAAACATTGTTATTTTCTGAGAATGAATACAGTACACGTGTGCAGACACAAACATCTGTTAAAGCGGACTGACAGCCGAGAAGTGATCACAAACCAACGTTGCTTCTTGTGACGCCTCGGGATAAAGGGTGTCTCTTATTTCCTCGTCCCTCTCTCCTCTACCTCGTTGGCGGGAGGGACTAAGACCCCAGTGGGGGAGGAAAGTGAGAGATTCATGGATGCAATTAAGGGAACTGAGATGTAGACATACTTTAACTTCCACAGAGCGTTGAAGTTTAAACATGAGGAATGTCAGACGCATAAATGTTTGTTTGGACACAGGATGAGGTGAGGTCGTTCCTCCAACTGACCCTGAGCTACAACGCCAGCCAATTTTAAATAAAGAATGTTGGCTACGAGTGAGCAGCACAGACAGAACTCAGGAGTCACCCCCTGTTGATGTACTTCACCTACTCACGCATGGCTATTGTTTGTAATCGCAATGTGCACGTGCATACGGCCGGTGTTTGAAATGAACTATGTTTCCAGTTTACACAGTGATGGAGATGGTGCTGTTTCCAAAACTTTTGCACTCTGGTTTTCAGAAACATAAGTTGTCATGCACCTAAAACTCTGTTGTCGTGTGAAAAATAAAAAAGAAGCCAAAACACAACAACAGGTTGCCATTTTTTGGGCCTCAGTCACTAGGGTTGACATGCACTACAATGCCCTACTCAGCCTGTCCAAATGGTTTCTGAATGATTTAGTTATTTCATCATCCGACAGGCTTCCTTTAAATCGGACTGTTAAACTCTGGTGCACAATCTACACAGACTCTGAGCTTTGATGTGGATTTGATTTGAGATTTGTACAAAGCTTGAGTAGAGTGTGGCTCTGAATGAAGTTACTCTTAAGGAACTTTTTTTAAAATTTAACCTGCATCTTTTTCAATTGATTCCAATGATAACAGTTTGAATGTGGCTGCATGCAGTCACTAATAAAAATACACTGGACTCTCCACCTTTTTTTATTTTATTTTTAATTTGAGCTGAAATTCAAATAACTCTAAGAATGGGGTTGGTGCAGTAAATGTCACTTTTTTCATTCAACCAATTTTATAGGGCGGGGACATCATCGAACATTTCCAAACAAAGTGTTGAAGAAAATCCTCCAACTGGTAACAGGGAAGAATAATAATCTAAATAATGATTAACAAAGTTTGCTGGACTAGCATCTAATGGTACTTTTAAAAATATGAGAGTTAATTTTTGTCACTGAACATGTGCTTCATCCAAACATAGTGCCAATGCTTTTCTGCCATGAAAAAAGTCGATATGGACAAAATGTCTTAGACCACCTGCACGCCTTTATTAGATAGACAGGACTGTGGATAGAGTTGTAAATCGGTGAGAAAGAAAGTGAGGAGTATCATGCAGGAAAGCCAGAGGTTGTACCTGAGGACTGGTACCTGAGGATTGCAAATTAACTACTAGGTTACTGCCGCTGTGTTCATGGTGTAATTCTGATATCAAAGTAGTGTGACCGTTTTTCTAGGGCCTACAAAAGATAATGTCTAAAAGGCTTTTTAATTTATAATATTTAGGTCCAAAAATAGTAAGAATGCTAAGAAATAGAACTTCACTATTCAGACAAGAAGTCATGTCCATCATTAAATGTAAACTTCTTTTTTTTTATACTAAAGTCGTGTTGTAATGTTCCCTCGTATTCAATCAAGACTTTCTCACTAACATGATGAGGTGAGATGAGAGCAGCTGTTACTTTTCACACTGCTTTGCAGCTGTTTTATAGTCATTGTATTCAACACAGCCAGAACATGATAGGAGCAGGCAGTGAGCTCATCTTCCTATGGGGAGAGTATTCATGACAAGAGGAGCGCTAAAACATGTCTCGGTCTTATTAATATAATACTAAAAAGTGACAAAAAGAAATCTCTTTTCAACTCAAAGAAATCTAGCAAACTGTGAAAAACCCTTTCATCGTCTGCAGTCTGGATCAGAGTAGACCTTTTTTTTGTATTTGAAACCTTTGGTACAACTCTAAAGCCAAAATCAAATATAAGGAAGTGAACAGGCTCAGCTTGCATGTAAGCAGTTGTGAACCTTTCATTTGGTCCTACAGTGTTTTAAAGTCCAACCCAGTGGCTTGTGATGATGCAGTGTGTTGTAGTCCACTGTCTAAAGGTAGACTCAGACACCTTCATGTACCGCAGAAGGCAACTCGGTTATAAGTCCACCAACCTCCCTTCATTCAACTGTCTGGCTTCTACTTTAAGATGAGAACAAGGCTGACGGTGTGCGTCGGGACCGGGGGCCCCCACGGGCACGAGGGGGTCCTGCAGGGCCTGGAGCAGGGCGGGGTCGAGGAGAGGGGCCCAACAGAGACCGAAGAAAGGAGGCCGACAGGTCAGCCATCCAAAGCTAGCAACTCCAAACTTCTTAATGAATGAGACGGAGAACATTAAGTAGGCATCTGTAAAGAGTGACCTATGCTCAGCTTCACAACTGATGACTCATTGAATAGGAACACCATCCAGGATTTCTGCTGATGCACTTTTATAATTAAATTACATCAGGATTTTGGACATTCTGAAAGTTTTTTAATGTTGTTCTTTTTAAGAAGACTGAGCACAGTGTGAACTGGGTGCCAAGCAGCTTACAGATGTAACATTTTCACACAATGAAATTGAGCAGAATTTGTGCTCCTTTTGAGTAAATCTCATTAGCTGTGTGTGTTTTTTTTAAGGATTAACAAACAAAAGTAAACTCTCCAGCACCGAGCTGTGCCAATAAATTTTAACCTCAGTGTTCGTTCGGATTGTAGAAAGGATAACAGAAGAGACCGAGACTCCAGACCACCCCCCGAGCCAAAGAAATTTGAAGAAACCCCAACCCCCGTAAGTCCTTCACTGCCAAGGTTTAGACAGACTTGAATATCACCTGAATGATTCCTCCTGACGGGTTTCCCCAAAGCCTTGAGTAGTTCTACCAGATCCTCCAGTTCATTGTAGCTGGTTGATAGATTTCTCTTCAGCGATCTTAAGATAATAGTTCCTAATGTTTTTTTTGCTTCTTGAGAAAGTTGACCTCTTTTTTTGTTTTTCTTCTAAAAGCTATTTATGTGAAGCATCCAAAGCTACTGTTCTAATCCAGATCCCCATTTGTTTTTTCCTTTCCAGAAGTTCAGCTCAGCCAGTAAGTACGCCGCTTTGCTTATGGACGGAGACCAAGGAGACGACGCAGACGACGTAGAATAGAGCAAATAACGAGGCGAGGCCCCAAAAGCGCAAGAAGAGGAGAAAACAACGAACGCAGAAAAAAAGAAATAATCTCACTTAGCTTATGAAAAATACTCCTCACATGGAAGAGGCTCCTGGGAGGACATCACTCCCATCCTTTCTTTTACTCCTACAAACCTGTCCTTTACTTTCAAGACACCCACCCTCCCTCCCCCCCCCCCTCCCCCTCCCCTGCCTGACCTTCGGGACTATTCAAGTTCTAAAGAATAGTCACATACTGGACTTGTTTTAAATGGAAAAAGGTTAGCTGACACATGGAAAATGATGGATAACATTGAATTAATGGTAATAAATAAATGGAAAAAGTGGGGAAAAAATTATTTTGTATATTTGTGGATCTGAGGTGTGGTGAGACTGGATTATTAAACAGATGTTGGTGATGGAAGTGGCACCTTAGTGCAAACTTGTTGAATAACTGACTCATTAACTTTAAATATTCCTGCATCAAATGCGTAGTTATTAATTATTAAAATTTTTAATTCTAAAGCAAATAATTCAATGTTGAAATCAATCTTAGATGTAACAGTCTAAATTGGCGAGACTCGTAACCTTGGTGACTAAGAAACATTGTCTTATCACATGTGCAAGAGTCATCAAATCATTGAATTTCTTCTGAACTGATTCACACAGAACTACAGGAGGAAATGTAATGTATTGAAAAAGATATTACTTAAATTACCAGTGAGTTGAGAAAGCCAGAAAAATTCAATTAAGTGCCATTATGATTATCCTCATCGTTGTACAGATCTACTTCTTCACTTGATAAACTCCTCAAATTAAAGGTGATTCACAGTCGTCGTCTCAAAAACTGGACTGCTGTCGAATCCTTAATCCCCCTCTATAGTCTATAGCAGGATTTGCCGTTGTTCCTGAGATAACATGAGTCTGTCTTTTAACTTGCATTAAATTGGGGTCATTTTGTAAGTTTGCATAATATGTGGTCATTGATATTGGAATGGGGCATGGGCTTTAAAATAAGTGTGAACTACAATCAAGGCAGATTTAGTTTTTGCTCTGTGTAGTTAGCCTTGCCCACTTTAATGACTGTGACATTTTCAATGAATGTTCATCTCTTAATGTGCAGCAACAAGAGCTTCTGCTTTCTGTTCTTCTAGTGTGGTCTATGAAACACACAGTTTGCGCAGTATTTCTTCAGTCTCGGCCTCCTGCTGAGGGCCGGGCTCCTGGTGGCAGCTGGTTAGGATCCTGCTGAGCTTCACATCCCACACACACAAGCAGGGCGCCCCCTCTCCTGAGAGACGTGACTCCTTTTGACCCCTTAGCAGCAGGGCACTCTTACAGTAGAAACAGTGAATGACAGAAAGCAAAATATCTGCATATAAAGATGTACTAGCTTTATTTCATTACACAAGTCATACATGAGGTGTGTGTTTGCCAATCCAACATGACGGCTTCATTTTCCCTTCTCAAAGTGATCCTCTGTTGAAAAAGCACGTTGATTCTGGATATTATAAATTCTACTATAGTGATTTCTCTGAGTGCGTAATCTGTGTATATTATAAGAACCTGCTAAATGTCATGTGGAGTTAAGTACCTGTGTGAACAAATATTAAGAAGTTCACATGCTGTTTTATGCATCATTCTCAAAATCAATAACAGGTAGTGATGTTGTCCTGCAATATGACCTTTTGGGGGGGAAGTACTTGTACTTTACCAGAAAATGTTTTTAACAATAATTTAGGGGGGAATATTTGGTTTACCCAGATTTTTTATCAGTATTATAATCTCTATTTACAGATACAGATCAATATTCATGACTTGATCTCTTTTAGATGGGTGTAAGAATGACTAGAGTAATGCATCCTATTATACATCTTAATCACTTACAAATAGTAATGTCAAAAGTAAGTCACCAGCTCCACCTGTCCCAGGTAATAAGTCAAGAGTAATAACTATGATACTATGATTTTTTGTCCGTTGTAGAATTGCTACATTAACTCGACAAAAGATGGGGAAAATTTCCCAGAACATCTTGTGGGGAAAAAGTTTAAATGTCTATGCACTCACCCAGCAAACCACCAGCCCCCACCCCTCATGCCATGTGGATCAGCAGCTGGTCCACACAGGAGGGTCCTGCTTTCATCCACCTCAAACTACCACACAACATTTTTTTTTCCCCTTAATGACAAATCAGGTGATATTTGCAATGTTCATTTACTAATGTCATATAAAATCTGTCTTGGTCAACTTGTCATCACTGGAACTATATTATAGATGCATCTCTAACAGGGCTCAAGATCTGTTGGACCCTAATTCATGTTGATGGTTCGTCGTCTAATTTAGCTCACAGCCACAGATTTTTCCAAACCAAGGCCTGCTTTGTACGGTCTGACTGGGGGCTAAAACATGGCTTAATAAAGAGCTTATTGTTGGAGATTTTCCCCTCACTCCTAAAACCTCCAGCTTAAAGCAGCATTTTGTCTGGAGAACCCAGTTTGAGGAATTCAGTTGTGTGTGTGTATATGTATGTAGCAGAGAGAGGGAGAGCAGTAGTCTGAAGGATCAACGAGGGGAGAAGCAGATTTTGGATTTAAGCACAGAGAAAATCTTTGTTTTAATTTCAGTCGAGAGAGCAACTAAGGGAATAAAGAAAGCGGACAATGTTGTCGTGTGTCTCATCAAACAGGGTGCAGGAGTTCATTACAAGCTTTTTCACATCCCAAGGAAAGGCCAAAATAAAAAAGGACAGAGGGATCCTTATTAGCAAAAAAGAAAGGAGAGTCCTGGTCCCTTTTGTCTGTTGCTCCAGGCGAGCAGATCATGATTAAAAGTCTAAACTTCCTCACAATAAGCTGAGAGGAAGGAAGTGTGTTCTCATGTGCAAAGTTACAGTCTGGAGAAATGACGTGTGTGAAAGAAGCTCTATCTAATCACTCCCCCCGTGAGGAAGAAGAGAGAGCATGAGGGGCTGAAGTGAAGCAAAAAGAAAAGGGGAAGGGCCTGACATCAACAAGCCTAAACAGCTGCCCCCTTCTCCCCCGTGGAGAGACAGCAAGAGGATCCCGATGGAGCAGGAGAGCGAGAGAGAGAGGGAGGGGGGGCGGCTGGATGGTCTGTGAGAGTGGGAAGGAGAGAGCAGCATGCGAGACATTTGAGGGTCTGAAGAGGCAAAGAGAAGGAGGTATTGGCAAGTGAAAAGGAGAAGGGGAGGAAGAGGTGTATGTTTGCATGCTTTCTGGTTGAGGTTAGCCAGGGAGCAAGGGGACAAGGAGAAGAGGGGGGGGGTGAAAACAGTGGGAGTCCCTTGGTGACATTTCTTGGACGGGAGAAGGAAAGGTTGTAAGAGGAGAGGAGGGAAAGAAAAAAAATCATCTGGGGTGGATTTCAAGGCAGGACAAGCTGTCAGAGAAGAAGGGGCAGAGGTGTGAGGAGTTGCTGGGGAAGAGGGATCATGTTGGTGGAGGAACTTATGGAGGCCCCCCCCCCAACAACATGAAGCGCTGAGAGAAGGAAGAGGAGAGAGTTAAGCACTTGTTTGACGGAGTTGAGGAAATTCAAGACAAGAAGAAGAGGTATCTGGTGGAAGTATGGGGTGCATTCACAGCACGAGTAGCAGCAGGAAGAAGACACATGGTCCCAGCATGGATCCAGGAGGAGTCCCCATGAAAGCAGACCCTGATGTGCATCCTGAAATCATTCAACTTGCTGAGGTAAGTGAGTTAAGATATTTTTCAGGGAGCTGTTAAAATTCTGTTCATACACTGCAAAGTTTGATCATGCAGTATGTTAAGCATGAGCCTTTAAAGTTTGATGATAATCGGTGCAAATGAATAAAAGAAAGATAAACATTACTGACCTGTCATCAGGTACATGTTGATTGTTTTCTGTTTGACATTTGACGAAGCTGAACTTTGCTTAATATTTATGCAGGCTTACCAAATACTAGTCATGGAAAATCAACCAAAAGAATCCTGACATTTTAGATGATGCCTGGAAACATTCCTCCTCTATATTTTGTCGACACGAGTTTTAGTAGAGCAGCAGCATCTTGTGCTGCACATGCATGCATACCCAGACATAAACATGTTCACAGGTCCTGTTAAGAGCTGCATCAGATGTTTGAGTTGCATGCACATTGGGTCTGTTTGTAAGTCGAAGCTAAAAGTCAAAAGTGTGTGACTGTGATGGCCCTTATTCATTTGTCATTCCTGCTGCGTGCAAGGAAACGGTAATATAAGATGTCAAGAGTAGAGGATGATCCGCTTGATCGCTGTTAATCATGTCCCTCAGGGATCAAGGTTCAAGAGGAAGTGGTATAAGTTACTGTCCAGTTCCGGCCCGCCGTCCGCCTGTCTGCTGCCTCTATTTAGGAACATGTATGGATTTAGGAGCATGCCACATTGCTCCACATGTCACAAAGCCACCCTGGGACTTTTATAGAGACTGAAATAAAAAGTGTGTGTT